ATATATATATATATATATATATATATATATATATATATAATTAATTATTCACAGCTATAAACACTTTGACTATTTGTGCAGTATGCAGATACTTAAAATAATGTTTATCTGAAGATAAACTCCTATTGTATCATTAATGCAAAATGTCATGTTTGTTTTGGTTTCTATGACCAATTACATTCTGGAAATGTGTTTTGGTAGGAAGCAGTTAGACATGCTATGACATCCGTTTCCAGTGTATTTCCAAGTAACAAAAACAAATAGCTAAGGCAATAATGCTTGCTCTAGACTTCCTGAATCAGAGTTTGCTTGAATTTTTATGCATTTTCATGCATTATCGTACACTGATTATACGCTGACACATATAAGCTCATGTAAACACATTAAACCATTTATGAAATTTCCCCTAGAAAAGTTTAAGCAAAACCAATTAAAACTCTTTATTTTTTGCACATCAGTCCCTAAGGGGACACGATGATGGGGGGAAAAACATGAGATGGGAGGAAAAATTTCAAAGCTTTTGAGTTCACCCACAAAACTTTTGAATTTCCCCAAGAAACTGTGTTCACTTGTAAAAGCACTGAAACATAGTTTTTCCTCCCACCTATTTAAAACTAAATTGTTTCATTTTATAATTAAATATACTAATACAACTAATAATAATAATAATAATAATAAACAATTTGATAAGTAAAAGTTTATATGTGCATTTATCAGTCATTTTACAAAGGCTCTGAAGGTGGCACATCCAATCAGAATTTAAAGAAATATTTGTTATATAAATGGCTTTTTTTAAACGGTTAATTTTTGATACTTATCAGCCTTTTACATACCGTATAAAAGCACACACTGTTCAGATTATACATCCTGGTGTTAGTTTTTAGAGTTGTCAGTAGGGCTGGGTATTGTTTGAATTTTATCAATTCCGATTCAGATTCTGCTTATCGATTCCGATTCTTATCGATTCCAATAAGATAAAAAATCCAATATAAAAAAAATCCAGTCAAACATTTATTCTGTCTTTTTACAAAGCATTCTGTTGCAGCTGAATAACACGAGCAAAAATCAGCAGCCTACAGCACACTGCAAGAGGAATTTTGCCTATGCTTTAAAAAAATACCACAGCAAATTATATACAGTGGGGAAAAAAAGTATTTAGTCAGCCACCAATTGTGCAAGTTCTCCCACTTAAAAAGATGAGAGAGGCCTGTAATTTTCATCATAGGTATACCTCAACTATGAGAGACAAAATGAGAAAAAAAAATCCAGAAAATCACATTGTAGGATTTTTAAAGAATTTATTTGCAAATTATGGTGGAAAATAAGTATTTGGTCAAGAATGATTTTCTTTTGTTCTTTGATTAACATTAATGACAGGTGGCGCGTTTATTAGGCTGCTGTCTCTTTAACACCGAACACACGCAGATCTAAAAATACTGTACATGCATGTTTTCTTTCTTATCTGTTTACGTTCACGTAAGACAAAAACGGCTGTGTTTATGATGATATACAGACATAGTTTTCTGCATATTGGTCGACAAATATGAAAGAAGTCAGTTTCGGCCCGGAACAACCTTTTCTACAGTGGAAATACGGAACGGTTCGAGAACAGACACAAACCGCGAACCCGTACCGCAACCTCTGTTCTCTGTGCTCGCGCTTGCGCTTAGTGTGGGCTGCACACAAACAGGGCGCAAGTTCTTTCCGTTCCTGCACTTAAATCGTTTTTAAATCACATTAAAATGCGAACGCAGGAATTGTTAAGCAGAATCGAAATGCACGCGTCTTATCGAATACCCGGTTCTTGGAAATATGGAACCAGCTTTCGATACCCAACCCTAGTTGTCAGACAACACTGCAATAGCCAGTTCAATACAGAAAATGTGTTTAGGATGTTTTAGTAAGCTGATATTAAAGCAGTAAACTAACATTGCTTGTGAGTGTCAGTCTGAACCTAATATCCATCTTCCGTGTTACAAACGTTGAAATAACTGGCATTAACAACAACACAGGTTATGCAGGGTTAGAGAGAAAGAAAAAAACAGACCGGGAACCATTGTTATTCCATAAACCCCCCAGCAGACATCTGTCTGCAGTGTCCCACAGGTGAGCAGGCAGGTGTCAAGCCGAATCCCATCAATAGTGCATTCATTATGTGATCGGGAGGATGGAAGCAAGACAGTGTGACCATGACAGCATAAACATGAAATGGGTGAAAACATGGCAGCCGAAGCAAGCGATAAATAGTGAAACATAAAACATCTTGCAATGGCCGGAAGGCACATGTCAGAATGAAGCTGAAATACTAGACCCCTTGAGGAAAATATAAACTGAAAGTAGAATGGTAGGCAAAACAGTAGAGGTCGACCGATGTATCTGTTTTGCAATTTATCAGCACTGATAGTTGATTGCTGGAATTATTGGCAAAAATCCATGCCGATAGTTTTTCCGGGTTGCATCAGTTGCTGGAGCTAAACACTGTCATTAGACAGTACGAGAGCGGCATCTAGAGCTGAATCACTGACACCACGTGCTGTTTGTTTTGACATGACACTGCAGAGCGGGACACTTAAGATGCGCATTTAAAACAGACAACGGAACGGTATGTATACAGTACACTGTAGAGCATGTTTTCTACGTAATTTTCAATTACTACGTAATTAATTTGTTGACTAGATGCTGCATTAGTGGAGAAAGGACAGCAGTATGTTTGCTATCAATGCTGAGAGGACGCGAACATTAGCAGCACCTCAAATGGTTAAACAATGTGACCAAAACACACGTAAGTCCGACCCAAATGTTTAATGTCACGATTGTTACCAACTATTTGCATTAGTTTATATCCAGCTGGTCACATTAATGCATTTGTTAGCCAGCAAAGTTGCAGATTTAAAGCTGTGATGTGAGAAAGCAAGCTGATATGTTGATTCAGCTGACAGAAGTCCTGCCACGCTGCAGAGCACCATTCACACAGTTTTCCACTAAATTGTTGTAAAATTGTGTATTGTGCTTTTTTCAGTGAAACGTTTGTTTTTCTGTGGCTCTAATAAAGTCTGTATGCTTCATATAGAGAGCTGTAATATAGATTGTGCTTTTTCTTTACGGTTTGCTGTTTTTGTTTAAACACTGAACTTCAAACTCATCTGTGCCGCTTTTTAAAGTAAACAGTTTTGGACCACCACTTGAACTGAACGCGGCATGTCCAGTGTGTGTGATACCTGCGAGTTCTCCTTGATGCGCCGCTGCGCTTTTTGCCTGGTGTGCGACTGCCATATTTTGTTATTTTGATTAGATAATCATCATGTGTTCTAGAATAGAAGAATAGAACTTCTAGAATAGAAGTTAAAGTGTGAGAGTATACATACAATATCCATATGTACAGTATGTGATTTCATGCTATGGCCGTTGTGTAGATATTTAATCTAATTAGAGTGTGCTAATTTCAACATCTACTAATAGATTTTGCATTATTTGCTTCTGTTAACATTAGTTAATAAGCTAAGAACTAACTTTAATGATCAATATATAATTAATATTTAATATTGATATTTATGATAATTTACAAAGTATGGTTCAGTACTGTTTTTTTTTTTTTTTTACTAGTAGAGCAGAATTTTAGATTTCGTTCAGTATTCATTTTTAAAATCCATGAGTTGATTACTCGGTATCGGGCCGGTGTGGTCCAACCTAGCTATCGGTATCGGTAAAATCCACTATCGGTCGACCTCTAAAAAACAGCAATTAAAAAAAGGATAGGAGCGGCAACAGTTTGCAGGCCAGCGGAGGGCAGGTTTGGTCGGGCTGGTTGGCGGTGCTTAACTACCTGTCCTGGACTGTCTCTTTGCCCTCTTAATGGAGCTGGGCTGGCCATTGGTGAGCCTGCTGGCGCCACTCTGGGAGAAGGGGATGGTCAAGAAGCGAACTCCCAGTCCTGCAGCTGACATCAAAATGGAAGCCATGCCTGGAACGGCCGAAGGCCATGTGGAGACATGCAGGAGGAAGGGAGGAGGAGGAGTGAAGGAAAGGAAGAGTAATGAGCCAAGAGTGGAGAGGCCAACCACAAGTGAGGCATGCTCTGATGAAGTCAAGAAAAGTTTAGGGTCCTACTTACTGAGGAGGAAATAATTATATCAGTCCAGCTATAGGTGCTGACTACAATCCCACCTGCTCTTAATATCCATCTAGGATTAAATTAAATAAATCCAGTACACGAAACGGAATCCAATGGGCTTTGGACACTAACTGCGATCCAATCATTCAAACCACCTTCAGAGGAGACAAGGATCTCACATTGCTCTCACAGAGCCAGACTTTTGGCTGTCTGGTCCACTTTGACAGGAAGAGACCATCTTCCATTACTCCATAATAACAGACCAGCATGAAAAGTAAATGCTTCCTGATGCATCACAAACAACATTAAAGCAGCACAGGGTTTTAAGCTTTGGACCAACACATTTGAAAAAACCTGAACACAAACATTACATTTTGATGACAGCAAGACTTTTGAAGTTTAACCATTTTGTCTCAAGACCCATGCTGTGAAATGCATCTGGTTGGGGTCAGATGGACCCAATACAGCCTAATTATACAGTGTTTTCTTAAGACGATTAGCGATTCAGGAAATCCACCAACAAATCCATTACAAAGATAACTGATCATAATTTTGCACTTCCCTATATACAGGGACAATACCTAAAACATTTTTTAAAGGGATAGTTCAGTCATTTACTCACTCTCATGTGGATACAAACTAGGGCTGCCCAACATTTTGATTGGTTTAGTTTTTTTTGCAATATAATTTGCAATATAAAAAATTACAAGAATTTTTGAACAGCTATTTAGAAAGAATGAATAATGTTACAGCTAGTGGGGTGATTTGGATGGGAAGTGCATCTGCATTAAAAATAAAAAGAATAAAAAAAAATAAGCTGACTTTTTTTTGAGTGAGAAAACCTTTTAGGGCTGAATGGTTTGGGAAAAACATAAAAAAAATCTGGCTGTTCATACTTGGGTTTACTTTTTACTACTCAAAACTCTTTCAGTAACCATTTCCCGGTTTTTATCTCTTTCTACTTTTTCATAGATTTATCATATAAAGCAATTGTGTCTCTTTCTTCAGAAGACTTTGATTAAACCATTCAATTCATATAGACTCAAAAGTTTTGTTGGAATTGACTTTCAGTGAATGGACAGCAATCAGGTTTCATTAAAAATATCTTCATTTGTTTTTTGAAGATCTTATGGGTTTGAAACAGCTTGAGGGTGAGTAAATGATCATAATTATAATTTTTGGGCGAACTATCCCTTTAACATTCAGTTTTCAAACAACTAACAATTACACAGATGTAGTAACTCTCACAAAATCCAGATCACCCATCTAAACATTTGAGTTTGGATCATCTGTGTCTGCTGTTAATCCTGTCTGGCACGCTACAGTACATAGTTGAGTGTTCAACTATTCACACTACTCACATATGCACCATTCATTGTCTATGCAGAAATTAGTGCATACACAAAAATTGCACAAAAACATCAGCAGATTGTGCTTATGATGTTACATCATACACAATGTCCTCGAGATGGGGTGGTCAACTGTCAGGTGAACATGAGCATTAAGAAATCCTACAGTTTAAACTCATGTTTGTATTGCTCACTTTATTCAAGACCCACCCAAAATCTCCCCACCTTCAATCTAGTGAAAATTACATTGGAAATGTCTCTTTGTCCCAAATCTGTCTTTCTGTTCTCCGAATGCCTCATTCATCTTGGTGCAGCAGCTGTCAGCTACAAGAACAACAGATATCCAGCATCCCCAGACACGCGCCATTAGCTTGAAACTTGTTGAAAGGCAAGCTCTTTTAAAACACACCAACTCAAAACCCACAAACTGGTGACTCAATGAACTGATCATAAACTGATTGGTGACACAGCCGACGCAAGACAAAAAGGTGGAACCAATATAAAGCAAGGCAGATGCATGAATGTACTTGTGACACATTCACTGAAGAATGCCAAAGCTAACTTCACTGACTTTCACCGCACTGGGAAAATGTTTCTGTGGTTCATACTGACACTCCCAAGAAACCGTTCAGCTGCTACTGCAGCATCAAACAGCTTTCTGGGATGAGGAGACGGAGAGCCCAGTGCATCACTGTAAGGAGTTTCTCTGGTGTGGCATGTGTGACGGGTGAGTGCTGTACCTGCCAGTGCAGAGTTCACACTACTGGATCCGTTCATGTGTAGAGGGATGGTTGAGATGCTGTGGAGACAGAAACATACACACTTTAATGCATGCAGACATTAATGCATGAGAACAAAAGCATTTCACAATGACTTGCACTCCCATAACAGAAACTGCGTCATGTTCTTTTTATGATACAAAAGAGGGGGAATTCAGTTGGTTGAGATTGCTGTTGACCTAATAAAGATAAAATGAAAGCAAGATACTTTCCAAGGGAATTCCCCAGCTTTCTCAAGCTGTCATGGTGTTACTCATGCTATGCCATCTGATATGTCTTTTAAATATACACTACCTTTTCATAAGTTTAAGGTCAGTAAGATTTTTATTTTTTTTTTGAAAGCAAGAATACTTTTATTCAGCAAGGATGCATTACATTTATCAAAAGTGACAGTAAAGACATTTGTAATGTTTTAGAATATTTCTATTTCAAATAAATGCCGTTCTTTTTAACTTTCTATTCGTCAAAGAATCTCGAAAAAAAAAAGAAGTAAAAACAGCACAACCGCATATTAGAATTACTTTTAAAGGATTATGTGACACTGAGTTACGATGCTGAAAATAAATTATATTTTAAAACATTAAATTAGAAATCAGTTATTTTAAACTGTGATAATATTTCACAATATTACCGTTTTATTGTATTTTGATCATGCAAATACCGTCTTGGTGAAGATTAAGAGACTTCTTTCACAAACATTTAAAAAAAAAAAAAAACGTTTCAGACCAAAAACGGAAGTGTAGATGCACATAATCGGAGTACATAAAAAAAGAATTAAAAGGATTTCAAACAAAGAAAAGAAAAAAATAACACTGGTAACCACTCATATAAATAATAAAGCTTTTGAACAAATCAGAAATAATTTTAATGAGGAGAATGATGTTACAGTGAACTTTATCTTATTGTAAATGTCACATTTTCTACTTTCCAGACAACATCAGATTTTCTTTTTTATTAAGTGTCAAGAGTATGAAACCCAACAAAGTACTTTTAAGATATCAATTTGATGCATAACCTGAAAGAACAACATTCAAGTAAATATGTGAATTACAGCAATATAAAAGAAATGTAAAGTAAATCCCTGATTTATGCAAATGTAAACATAAGCATCTGATGTTTCTGCTACTTAAACAACTGTATTCATCCGCTGGTTGGCAAGCTGCTGTCTTTTTTATTTTCAATTGCTGTTTTTCTTACAATTCAACTTTGCTTTATCTATACAGTGGCACTCCAATTCGCAGGAATTACAGCTTGCATGACACTCCCACAGTGATCTGAGAATCTCATGACAATGAGGTGGTAGATTTCACACTGCGTAAAACTAACCAGCAGACACTGCGTGGGATGAATTAAGCACCAAAATGTGAACTTAAGTTTAAGAGTTTGTTTAAATGTCTCACCCTAAATATGAGCAAATCTGAACTTTAGTAAGCAACACTAATAAGTTATATATTCTCTGTCCAGATGTTGTTGATCTTTTATTGCTTGTGTTTTATTATTCAGCTAGAGGTTTTGATTTCAGCTGAGACTGTTCATTCCAGAGTAATCATGAAAGATTATAACCAAGTGTGGTGTACTTTGACCACTTGACAAGGAAACCGCATGACACTCCCACAGTGATCTGAGAATCTCATGACAATGAGGTGGTAGATTTCACACTGCGTAAAACTAACCAGCAGACACTGCGTGGGATGAATTAAGCACCAGAACTTAAGTTTAAGAGTTTGTTTAAATGTCTCACCCTAAATATGAGCAAATCTGAACTTTAGTAAGCAACACTAATAAGTTATATATTCTCTGTCCAGATGTTGTTGATCTTTTATTGCTTGTGTTTTATTATTCAGCTAGAGGTTTTGATTTCAGCTGAGACTGTTCATTCCAGAGTAATCATGAAAGATTATAACCAAGTGTGGTGTACTTTGACCACTTGACAAGGAAACTAAGGTCTCATAAGCTCAGCTATGGATGTTTGTGTAAGTTGACTGTGTGAATGAGGAGTGAGAGAGGCATGCGTAAAAAAAAAAAAAGACATTTCCTGGTTCCCCTTTCAACCCAGTTTTCCAGAAGAGAATAATAACTAAAATCTGGGTCTTCCCCTTTAAGTCAGCACAGTAAGTGCAGACCTGCTCTCCTCCACGTGTCCTAAAGATCCACACAGAGGGGAGGATATGACACAGTGCACAGAGGAACAGCCAATTATAGTATCAGGACAAAAGGGAGGATGATCATTACTGCTCTTGCATTAAAATCAGTCCAGACTGAGAAAGGAAATTAGCATGCTGTTGTATTGGCTTTCCTGTTAACCCACATTTTAAGTAAAAATGTGAAGCTCATATTTAAAAAAATATATATATTTTAAATTATATTATTTTAGTGGCAAATTTGTAATTTTACCTTGGGACTACTAGTTTTGTGGCTTTACTTTTAAAGACATTGCACATTTTAATGTGTATTACTTCCATTGCAAGTTCTTTCAGGCAACCACAATTCTGGTTGAACTTTATTTGTACAGTAAGTGCATGAACAGTGTAATATATTACCCAGCATACTTACCCAAGAGTATACTGAGTAATATAAGGTAAATACATGGACTTAAAGGAATAGTTCAGCCAAAAATGAAAATTGTATCATCATGTACCGTGCGGCCACATTTACCGTTTCGCTGCCAAATTTTGTGGGCAAAATCCAGTAGAAATTTGAACAATCTGGGGTTTTGTGTGAGGGCCAATGATTTCCCCACATAGATTTCACTTATGTTCCTGCTTTCAAACCTGCTTGGTTTGAAAGCGACTTCTGTGTGCGCTGTGCTTCATACATTGCTACACAATGGACAATAGCCCTTTTTTGTTGTGAAATTCTGCTGAAATTTTGCTAATGTGACTGTACATTAACTTTCTTTTTTTTTCCTTCTGCAGAATACATAATATTTTGAAGAATGTTGGTAACCAAATAGTTTTGGTTACCATTGACTTTCACTGTATAGACAAAAACACAAACTTTTCTAAACTCTTATGTTCTACAGAAAAGAAAAAAGAAGTCATACAGGTTTGGAACGACATGAGGCAGGGTAAATGACAGAATTTTAATTTTAGGGCAAATCATCTCTTCAGCATGGGTTAAGGTTAAGTTTGGTACTTGGTTTTGGGTTAGTACCTAGTTATTACTAGGGCTGTCGCGGTGAGGGAATCTCCCTTGCGGTCATTTTGAGTGGCTCAATAGCACGGTATGCATATATATATACACAAACACACACACACACATATATATATATATAGGAAGTGAAGTTAATGGAAGAGAATTACAAAATAACGGTCCACATAACAGAACATTTAACCTGACAATAAGATCGTTAGGCTATATGTATAACAGTTAGCCTAGTTGTAATCTGATCTTCAAATCTGACTGGTCAAGAGACTTTCTATTGATAGACGAGCTGTCAGTCAGTGCAGTTACAGTGTTACGCCACAAGGTGGTGGAAAGGGACTGTCATTCAACTACACGTTCAAAAACACTGATTCATTCATTCAAAGAGACGTAATGAAACACGCTGTTGAAATCATTTTAATTTTGAGCGCCACTTTAGAAGGCTCAGCTGACCAGCTATGCGTAGATGCTAAGACAGAGATTTCGCTTTCCTTGGACATGACAACCTGTTTTCACAAATATATATGACTCGGCCTGGAGGACAGACGCGCTCAGTCGATCTCTCTCTCATTCACTGTCTGTTTAGGCTTGTTAAGTGCAAATCTACGGAGCCTCTGTACAAATCAGCATGGTACACATTATGTTATCATTACTAACTTGTTTAACCTTACGAAAAAAGAAAAACATGCAAAAATCGCTGTTGCTGCGGTTCTTGCAGTCCTTTGCGGTTTGGTCGTCAATAGCGCGGTATTGCGATATTGCGGTTATCGCAACAGCCCTAGTTATTACCCAGTAATTACTAGGGGTGGGAGAAAAAATCGATTCACCAAACTATCGGGATTCTTTTTTTAAACGATTTAGAAATCGATTGGTTTAGCTCAGAATCGATTTGTATTTAATTATTTTACTTTTCCGAAGAGGTGGTGGGGAGAAGTTAGCGCTTTTTAATTCCAACAGAGGGCGAAATGTATAGGTGTGTTCGACTTGGAACAGCACCGCGCAGACGATCAGCGCAAGACATTAAAGTACCGCGAGAGCGATTCGAAAGCATGCGGATCGGTCTGTTCTCTGTAGCTCTCGCGGTGCTTTGATAACATCTTACAATGATCGGTCTGCGCAGTGCCGCTGCATTAGATGACGTCATATACATTTCAAGCCAACGCGAAAAAGCAAAACCATGACGGAGGCAGAGGATCAAACCTCTTCCAGAACTCTTTCTGCACCTTCACTTTTTGAATCCCAAGTGTGGAAACACTTTGGATTTTACACACTGCCGGGAAAACATGACTAAAATGGTATGCAAAGTAACATAGCACTTTATTTTGTAATGTTTATTTATAACACTATTATATTTAACACTTTTATTTTATAGTGTTCCTGTGGCTCAGTGGTAGAACATTGCGTTAGCAGCGCAAAAGGTCGTGGGTTCAATTCCCAGGGAACACACATACTGGTAAAAATGTATAGCCTGAATGCACTGCAAGTCGCTTTGGATAAAAGCGTCAGCTAAATGCATAAATTATTTATTTTTTTCAGAAAGTATTTTTTCTACTCATTTTGTTGAACATTTGACTATTATATTCATGTGCAAGTTCAGGGTTTTGGTACTTGAAAGTTTCATGGTTCAAGGTACTTTAAATATACACTGTGTATTAGGGCTGCACGATAAATCGCATGCGATATTTAACGCGCATCTTATCAGTAAAGCCGGTTCTGTAATCATCGGTAAATGTCAGTGAACAACGGCTCTGTGTAGTTAATGCTGCTCAATGTGAAAGCATGCACGTGATGGAGATTTACTGCTGATTACAGAACCGGCTTTTTGACAAGATGCGCATTAAATATCGCATGCGATTTATCATGCAGCCCTACTGTGTATGTGTATGTGTATGCTCCTGAAATAAAAGTTCAGAAAGATGTGATGCATTGTTTTTGTTAATATGACTCATCATATACAATCTCTTTTAAGGGTATAATCAAGTATTTCAACTTTTTCCCATGGTCTAGAGTTAAAAACAAAATTCGCAACACATAGCAATATCGAATCGCAATACTTGTAGAATCGAAATTCTTAAAAAAAAAAAAACGCAATGCATATCGTATCGGCACCCAGGTATCGTGATAGTATCGAATCGGGAGGTAGGTAGGTGTATCGTTCCATTCCTAGTAATTACATAGTAAGTACATACTATCTACAGAAAGATCTATAAAATAAAGTGCTACCACAGTTTTTCCTGCCTTTTTTAAACTAATGAATATATCCCAATTTGTTTTTGTAGTAATCAAAATTATGCTACAAATGGAGTCAGAATGACACAGAATGACTGAGCCTACTACTACAAAGTACACAAGAGGACAGACACAATGACAGGAAGGAGAAGAGCTCAGTAGCTGATGTAATAAAACCTTTAGACCTTTGGTGTCATTTTAAACTCTGCGGGTCAAACATCTTGTTTTCTTATCACGACTAAAAGCCGGTTGAGTATTTTTAAACCGCTCTCTGTGGGAGGACTTCGATGCTTGTGCTGAGTTCTTGAAATTATGACTAAAATAAGTCTCTTTCCCTTACAAATCCTATGGTGCTTCCATGATACAGTGATGGTATCACATGGTAATATATATATATATATATATATATACACAGTGGGGCAAAAAAGTATTTAGTCAGCCACCAATTGTGCAAGTTCTCCCACTTAAAAAGATGAGAGAGGCCTGTAATTTTCATCATAGGTATACCTCAACTATGAGAGACAAAATGAGAAAAAAAAAATCCAGAAAATCACATTGTAGGATTTTTAAAGAATTAATTGGTAAATTCCTCGGTAAAATAAGTATTTGGTCACCTACAAACAAGCAAGATTTCTGGCCCTCACAGACCTGTAACTTCTTCTTTAAGAGCCTCCTCTGTCCTCCACTCGTTACCTGTATTAATGGCATCTGTTTGAACTCATTATCAGTATAAAAGACACCTGTCCACAACCTCAAACAGTCACACTCCAAACTCCACCAAGGCCAAGACCAAAGAGCTGTCAAAGGACACCAGAAACAAAACTGTAGACCTGCACCAGGCTGGGAAGACTGAATCTGCAATAGGTAAGCAGCTTGGTGTGAAGAAATCAACTGTGGGAGCAATTATTAGAAAATGGAAGACATACAAGACCACTGATAATCTCCCTCGATCTGGGGCTCCACACAAGATCTCACCCCGTGGGGTCAAAATGATCACAAGAACTGTGAGCAAAAATCCCAGAACCACACGGGGGAACCTAGTGAATGACCTGCAGAGAGCTGGGACCAAAGTAACAAAGGCTACCATCAGTAACACACTGCACCGCCAGGGACTCAAATCCTGCAGTGACAGACGTGTCCCCCTGCTTAAGCCAGTACATGTCCAGGCCCGTCTGAAGTTTGCTAGAGAGCATTTGGATGATCCAGAAGAGGATTGGGAGAATGTCATATGGTCAGATGAAACCAAAATAGAACTTTTTGGTAAAAACTCAACTTGAGGAGAAAGAATGCTGAGTTGCATCCAAAGAACACCATACCTACTGTGAAGCATGGGGGTGGAAACATCATGCATTGGGGCTGTTTTTCTGCAAAGGGACCAGGACGACTGATCCGTGTAAACGAAAGAATATATGGGGCCATGTATCGTGAGATTTTGAGTGAAAACCTCCTTCCATCAGCAAGGGCATTGAAGATGAAACATGGCTGGTTCTTTCAGCATGACAATGATCCCAAACACACCGCCCGGGCAACGAAGGAGTGGCTTCGTAAGAAGCATTTCAAGGTCCTGGAGTGGCCTAGCCAGTCTCCAGATCTCAACCCCATAGAAAATCTTTGGAGGGAGTTGAAAATCCGTGTTGCCCAGCGACAGCCCCAAAACATTACTGCTCTAGAGGAGATCTGCATGGAGGAATGGGCCAAAATACCAGCAACAGTGTGTGAAAACCTTGTGAAGACTTACAGAAAACGTTTGACCTCTGTCATTGCCAACAAAGGGTATATAACAAAGTATTGAGATTAAATTTTGTTATTGACCAAATACTTATTTCCCACCATAATTTGCAAATAAATTATTTAAAAATCCTACAATGTGATTTTCTGGATTGTTTTTTTCTCATTTTGTCTCTCATAGTTGAGGTATACCTATGATGAAAATTACAGGCCTCTCTCATCTTTTTAAGTGGGAAAACTTGCACAATTGGTGGCTGACTAAATACTTTTTTTCCCCCACTGTATGATATGAAATATATAGAAAATATGAAATGAGGGATAACTTGCATTTTTTCTACTTCTGAACCAGGCATTTTAGTCTTACCTTAAGCCATTTGCATGGTGACCAAAAGCCTGTGGTGGTCCTGAAGGATGAGCCACAGAGGTGGGGGTACTCCACGGGCCGTTCCATAACAAGCTTCCCATCGAGAGAGGTCTTCTGGGGTAGGGCGAGTAGGCTGAAGAAGAGCTGGTTCCAGGAAGTCGTCCATGCTGGGTCTGGAGGCTGGGCCCGTTGGCCTGCCCCACGGTGAAGGAATGCCGTGACCGGCTCATCATGGGTCCGGCGGCGCTGCTATTGCTCAAACATTGGTGACAGGAACAGGCCGGGCCCGAGTGAATAACTGAACCGGAGGCGAGAGGATATGGCACGCTGCCTTGCCGCCTGACATGTCGTCTGTAGCTGGTGGCCTTGTTGACTTGCTGTAGAGCAGTGAGGTCCACAATGTAGTTGTAGCCGTGTGGGCTCAGGTCAGCTGTGGCCTGCCCTGCCTGGTAGCTGTGCTCCAGCAGAATGGAGGTTCGGATCTCATACACCGTCCACCCTCCTTCATCATTGGCCCACTCCCAAAGAACCCCACTGCCCAGGGCAAAGGACTGCGGGAACAGGGATCGCCGCACAGCACGCATCTTTCCTAAAAAGGGTTAAAGAAATATTTCATAGTAAAGGCACAAGATCATTATCATTCTAAAAAAACATTTACATATTTCTCAACCACAAAAAAGTGCTTCTCTTCTAAAACAAATCTGTGTATTTCATCAACAAAATATGCTGTGTATCCTGTCGGCATCTGTTAGCTTATTTCCTGAGATTTTTGTCACCTCTTTCCTGTTCTTTTCCGTAGAGACCACAGGTGTCCAAAGTCATTCAAAAATCCCCAAAAACAAGCCTAATCTCCAGTTAACAGACCTAACGCTATTTATGCACTACACAGCTTTACCCAGCGGGTTTAATGACCTGTTATCAAGGATGAAGCATAAATATCATACATTTAGAGCAACTGAATTTCCGCCAGGATTCACACTAGGCTTCTTTCACTCTGCAGATTATCGAGACACTTCCTTGACAAATGGTAACACCTTTACTTAATCCAAATTGAGCAATAACCATGTCTTCTTAACAGTCTCTTACAGTAAAGTACTGTGGCAGTACCAGATGGTAATATCATCACGTAGCATAGTATATGGGTCAATAACATACAAATGTCTAAGTTGATTAAAAAATATATAATAAAACTGTCTACATACTATTATAAATATTTATCAAAAATGTGCATTATGAAATAAGAAATATATTTTTCTAAACTATTTCTAAAGAAACTAGTACTTTTAATATTTTTTTATACTACAAAATTATAATTTATATTTCAGCTAAGAATCATTCAGTTTATCAAAAATGACAAAGACATTTATAAGTTTACAAAAGATTTCATTTTCAATTAAACTGTTTTTCGAACTTTCTATTCTCCAAAAAATAAAGAAAAAAGTGCTACTTAATATTTTTGTGTAAACCATGATACAACTATTTTCAACACCGACAACAATAAGAAATGTTTCTTGAGCACCAAATAAACATGATTTCCAAATAAAGAATGATTTAAAAACACAACTTTGACACACAGCAGGACTAAATCACAATTTAAAATATATTCCAATAGAAAACAGTTATAATATTTCACAATTCTAGGCCTGTCGCAATAATCGATATATCGACTTATATATTGATATATGTACATGACCGCAATCATTTTTGGTGACACCCATTATATTTACTTAAAAATGAATGTCACCATGTTTTATGGTCTTGTTTTTCAGCAATAGTGTGGCACCCTTAATTTACAGAGAAAAGAAGGTCCGGGAAAAATCTCCATACAAGTTCTTTGTGCATTTTTCTTTTTTTCTACTTTTCACTTTTTGTTAGAAAATGTTTATTTACTATTTATTCGGGTTATCTAATATTTTGACACTTAATTTCCATGATCTAAATATTCTTAAAAATTAAAAAGTTTGTTGTCATTTGGAAGTGTGTAGGCCTTCTTACATTATTATGCTGTTACATTATGATTATATATTCAGTGGCATAAAATGGTCTTTAAAATGACAATAATATCGCTTATCGCAATTATTTCTGAGGCAATATATCGCACAACAAAAAGTTGTTATCGTGACAGGCCTACACAATTCTATTATTTATTTGAGTTTGACTTATTTGTGATCAGATAAATGCAGCCTTGGTGAACATTGTACACACACACACACACACACACACACACACACCTTAATCATGAATATCAGAAAGTTATACCAGTTGACATTTGTGAACCAAAGTTGACCCTACAAGGTACTTCAAAAAATTTCAAATACCACGACATAATTTGTGCCATTTAATAAGATCTCGTTCAATGAATGCAGTTATTAATAAATAATAATAATAATAATAACAAAGAAGAAGAAAAAAGTATGACGTACTAAGATATTTTGGGATGTGCACCATAATAAAACCATAGTAGACAGAAGTTGAAATGAAGATGCTACAGTACCACTACTCCAACTCTTCTTCAGCAGTGTGTAGAGAGATGTCTGAGCTCCCACTCACCCGTGTCCTGTCTGAACTGTTTGAGGTTGGGGATGTCGATGATGTACGCAGACAGGCTGGGGTCTGCCTGTGCCAGACAGATGCTGCTGCTGCTGCTGCTGCTGCTGGCGGGCCCGGCTCCTCTCTGGTGCTGGAGACACTGCTCGATGTAGCTGCTCACCTGTCCGGTGTAGGGCCTCCAGTAGCCCAGATCATCCTGCCATTCCCAAACCACCGCCATCGGCTGAGCCTGTCCTGGCACTCCAGACGAGGAAGACGACGGTGATGCGAATGATGGTCCGTTTCTAGAACCACTCCCTCCGGAATGGAAACTGGAGCCCGTTGCCATTTTATCTGTTAGAAAAAGTCCCAACTACCCGCCGGCGATATTAAAACAACCCCGAGTAAAGCAATGTGACGATCTGGCCCAGCTAACAACAACAACAACACCAACACCACCACCACCCATTCGGTTTAAACCCAGCTAGCCTGCTAACTAGTCGTATTCCGTAAGAGGTCGATCAATATCGCCACTGTAGTGTTTTATTCAGTGGTACACGTTTATTTAGCCGCAGATTTGACCATAAACCCGCTGACGTCGCATCATCTCGTTGGGCTGCTGGAGTCGCAGCTTCAGACTAACGTTAGCCGCGTCTCGCGCTTCTCTTCGCCATTCGGCTACCAGGCTCATAAACCACTATCATATAATATAACCGAGACTATTTAGTAGGCAGCAGACTGAAGTTGTCAGGTCGCGGATAAAAACACACTACTCGACATGATAATTCGATTTGTAACGTACGCACTGGGTTGTAGCGCTACGGTGACTTCCTCGCCTGCGGTGTGTGTTTGTGTCGCTGACTCGCTGCTGCTGCTGGATTCCCATAGATACACACACAGAGAACTCCCCTCGGTAAATATGGCTCGACTGTTTCCGCAATATTTTACAGGTTTGAAAATAAAGTGCTTTATATATTTTTTAATTGCTAACAAATTTTCTGACGCTATTGGAAGTTTACTCAGGGCTGTCGTTAATCGTACTATAACAAATATTAAACTTTGTCTCTGGTATATAACGTCCGCATGGCATAAGACTTTTATTTTGAAAGTATTTCTAGACAATATGGCAAATGGCAAAATAGAAGTCCCTCCACACCTTTTTATAAAGAAGTGACGTACATACATAGCTCGTTAAAAAATAAATTAAACATAATTTACAGTAAATTATGTAATTTACAGTTAATTATATACATTATTTTAAGCATGTTGGTGACTTTCAGACTTTCAGTGCTGCAGCTTTGGTGATGTTGAAGTTTCGTTCACTCTAACACTGACCCTGTTGCCCCAAAGGTTAAAGAGGCTTGTTAAAAAAATCCTGTTTAGGATATATCCACAGGGCACATTTTACAGAAGAGATTTCAGGTTGTTCTTCCTTTCCTGTAACTCCTGAACACCATTTTACTGCTGTGATTTTACCTCTAATTTTTGGGTGGATGTTTTCAATTATATTTCAGTGAAAAATAATCATATTTATCCCTGTTTTAGGATATATTGAATTCCCTGTACATTTGGTGGGTGAAAATGTACACATTTAAACATGTAATTAGAAGAAATGTAAACACTCCTTTATTTCTAAAATGTTGTGAGAATATTTCAAATTATTTGCTTTCAAATAATTCTAAGAAAACGAAGTAGAAAGATGGGAAACATATGCTCCTCATTTTCAAAATAGTTACAATTTTAGTGTCCTAATTCATATCTTTGTTATAGTCCATTAAATTATTGTAATTTTTTTGTATGTCAGTGTGGCGTTCTTTACGATGTTATGTTCCCTGTCTTGCATTGTATGTGCATTAAAAAATGCAAAATGTGCAATAAAAAAATGTAAAATGACAATACAGAAATTAACATTAGTAATGTTAATAAAGATTTCTATTTAAAATAATTTCAAATAATTCACATTTCTATTTTACATTTCAATCTTTCGGTTCATCGAAAAAATGGAAACACCCCCACACAATTATTGCTGTATTTAACAGCTATAATAATAACAAGAAAAGTTTCTTGAGCAGCAATCAGCATGATTCCTGAAGGATCATGTGACACTGAAAGCTGGGCTGCGTTCAGCCCCGACAAAAACGGTAGCAAAACGGTGCACACCGGTTTGAGCTTGAACTTGCCCCTGGAGTAATGGAGCTTTAGCATGACAGGAATAATACATTTTAAAAATATATTCAAATAGAAAACAGTTCTTTCAAATGGCAGATTTACAGTTTTTTTTTACAGTATTTTTTAGTAAAAAGTAAAAAATATTGTAAAAATCAGTGATGTCTGATATTGCTTTCAGGCCAGCAGATGGTGCTAATGATGGTCTTATGTTTCTGGAATGTTAATTTTTCTTCTCCATTAATCTAGTTTCCATTTGAGATCACATATTTCCAAGGCTTCCACTGCATAACATTCACATCATGATCACACAAACGCAAGGCAACACATTTTATTTGAAAGGCCTAAATGGCATTAAGGTACAGCATATAAATACTGGCGATTCCAGAGACGGTCATTACATAATAACATTATAGCATTCTTTCCTTTACAAACAATACATTCATGGTGTTTTCTCCGGGGAATACCTCACTTTAACGAACTTAAGAGTCATTTACAAAGCTAAAAGAATACAAAAAGTCTCTCAGTTGAATATAAGTTAGTGCTATCATGTTAGGGCTTTTCCATCCCGAAACCTGAAGCAGATGTTTCTTTCTGAATACATACAGTAGCTAGCTGTTTTTAGCATCATTAGTCATTCAGTGTTTTATGCTCTATACTGAATGTGGTAGATTACATTCCCTGCATATACTAGTTTTTATTTAAATAAATAAATAAATAACAATACAAACATTTGCAAGGCATGAGACCCAGAAAACTACAGGAGTCGTATCCAGTAAGCACAGTACTGTACGAGCTCTCGGCACCAAACAAGGCTGTGTATACCAACAGTGATTAGACGTATTTGGGGAAAAAACTAATCCCAAATCCCGTTCTTACTGCTCTTTATGAGATGGTTATTTAACCATGATTGTGTCCAGGATCTGCTATTACAAAAGCATTATAGTGCATCTGATATGCAAATAACGGCTACTCCTTTTACAAGCAACCTCCTAAAGGAATAGTTCTGTCACTGCTCCAGGTGTGTGTTCACGGGGTGTGTGTGTGTGTTCACTTCTCACTGCTGTGTGTGTGCACTTGGATGGGTGAAATGCAAAGCACAAATTCCGAGTTTGGGTCACACTTGGCCACACGTCCTTTCCTTTTCCTTTCCTATATGTATGTTGTATAATATATATATATGTATATATATATATTATTATGCTATACTATATACTTATACTATATGTATAAGCCTGTATGCTGTTCATGTTTTAGTGGAACACTTAAAGGAACAGTTCACCCAACAATGAAAATTTGCTGAAAATGCACTCAACCTCAGGCCATCCAAGATATAGATGTAGATGAGTTTGTTTCTTCATCAGAACAGATTTGGAGAAATTTAGCATTACTTCAGTTGCTCACCAATAGATCCTCTGCAGTGAATCGGTGCCGCCAGAATGAGAGTCCAAACACTTAATTAAAAACGTCACAGTAATCCACAAGACTCCAGTCCATCAAATATTGTTTTGTAATAAATTCATCATTAAGACGTTTTTAACTTCAAACCATTGCTTCCAGGAAAAACGTGCATCCTCTATCCATAATATTGGTATCGCCATTGAAAATCTCGTCTCGTCTGAATTAGGAGAAATTTGCAGTATACCGTCCAAAACAGTTCTAAACAAATAAATAAGTGTTATTATGGATTATGGACTGGTATTTTGGCTAGAAGCGATGGTTTTAAGTAATAAACTTTTCACTTCTCATTACATTAATTGCTGTACTGGAGTCGTGTGGATTAATGTTTTGATTCTATCAGTTGTTTGGACTGTCATTCTGACGGCACCCATTCACTGCAGAGGGCCCACTGATGAGCAAGTGATGCAATGCTAAATTTCTCCAAATCTGTTTTGATGAAGAAATAAACCCATGTACATCTTGGGTTGCCTGAAGGTGTGTACATATACATTAATTGCTGTACTGGAGTCGTGTGGATTAATGTTTTGATTCTATCAGCTGTTTGGACTGTCATTCTGACGGCACCCATTCACTGCAGAGGGCCCACTGATGAGCAAGTGATGCAATGCTAAATTTCTCCAAATTCTGTTTTGATGAAGAAATAAACCCATGTACATCTTGGGTTGCCTGAAGGTGTGTACATTTTCAGCAGATTTACATTTTTGGATGAACTATTCCTTTTAAAGTCCGTTTTTGACTAATCTTCACACAGAACAAATCTTCTTTTACATGATTTCTATTTTCGTGTTCCACTAAAAAATCAAAAGCATTTGTTTTTGGACTGACGTGAGGTTGAGTACTATTCCTTTAAGTAATAAAGCACTAGCAGATTGATTTACTGCCGTGTTTTTCCATCATTAGCACTTCATTCAGAAACAACTGCATCCAACAGTTCACACTCTCTCAATACCTGCCAGAACACACAGGCGTCTCCACGCGCGAGCCGCAGGATCTGCCACAGCTCTGAAGAAAGCTGAATTTAGCATTCAGAAACGTCAGGTTTATTTAAAAAAGGTCCCTTAATGGTAGAAGTCTTTCATACAGAATCAGAAAGTTTATTAGTATTTGACTTTTCCAGGAACTTGAACATTCACTCCGCTATAGTCCACCATGTACATGGGCCATTGCTGAAAAATAAAAAAATGACTTTTTAATAGTAGTTCAGTTAGTAAAAATCAGCCACTTTGAAGGTCAACATGAAAATTCATTTGAATGGACCCCATTTACTCTCTTAATACATGTTCATGGAATAATTGTGCAAAAATAATCTGTGTTTGAAATATTTTGTGTTTTAACAAAATGTAAGAACTTGTGCTGACTGTAAAATTACTATTCAGCTGATGTCATCTAGGCTGCACAAGTGATTGTACTGTACACTAGTGCTGGGCGGTATGACCAAAAATTTATATCACGGTATTTTTCGAAATTATACCGGTTTCACGCACAGAACAGATGCTGAGAGAGGTGACACTTCTCCGGGAAAGTCAAACCTCGCGTTCGCGGGACAGCACTGGCGAAATCTTCCAACTGAACCATAGCTAAGGTTTATCCACAAAAGTCACTGGGTTTGTCAGTATGAATATTCTATGGAAACAATCCGCTGAAAGGGTCTGAAAGTTGCTAAATCTAGTGCTAAAGTCGCGCTCGTGTGTGTGTGTGAGACGCGGGAGCTGATGGCAGGGGGCGGTGGATATTTGTGGCGGTCAATGTGGATATTGTGAATGAGCTCTTCTATGTCATCACGTTCTATTAGTTCTACAGCTTCAGTTTCGGAACTTTCACGCTAAGTAACAGATACAGCTGTTCCCTCACCACAGTGCAACAGTGAAAAGGGACCCCTTTCAAACAGTGTCGCGTTCCGAACGATGTTTAAGTGACACATTTTAAAAAATAAACACCGGTATTCGGTATGAACCGGTATACCGCCCAGCACTACTGTACACAATACAATTCAAAAGTTTGGGGTCGGTACGACTATTTATGTTCTAAAGTTTAAAGTCTATTATGCTCACCAAGGCTGTATTTATTTGATCAAATATACATTAAAACTGTAATATAGTAAAATAGTACTAGAATTTTCAGCATCACATGATCCTTCAGAAATCATTCTAAAATGCTGATTTTGGGCTCAAGAAACAGTATTATCATCAATATTAAAAACAGTTGTTCTGATTAATATTTTTGTGGAAACTATGATACTTTTTTTCAGGATTACTGATGAATAGAAAGAAAAAAAAACAGCATTTTTTTGCAACATCACAATTTTGTTTAATCTATTTAATGCATCTTTGCTGAATAAAATTATGAATTTCTAAAAAAAAAAACATTCTTCCTAACCCCACACTTTTGAACAGTAGTGTAATGTTAACGAGTACCTAACTGCCTATTTATTAAGTCCTACTCCACATTTTATTCCTCACTGAATCTTGTTAAAAAAATGGCACATTATAAACGTATTCTGGGACGAAAAAGCCTTTTATGATGAAGTAAAGATAAAAAAAAAAAAATCTATAATATGTTACCATGACAGGAATCTGATTGGTTGATAGTGTTGAGTCTGCTCCAGTGGGCATGGCTGCTTGACTGTTGTCAAGTACTCTTTTACGTTTGCGTCGATTTGTAGACACTTCTTTACCTTCTGCAAAAGAGGATGTACACATTTGTGCTAATTTGCATTTGTAAACATTTATTTTTTATTTGAAATAGAAAGTTTAGGAAAGCTCTTACCTTTATTACAAGATTGAGTACATAACTCTGTGAAAGGCCTAAACAAAGGCAAAATCAATGAGATCAAACAACACTTACATATATAAAGTACAAGTACTAAACACAGCAAGCATTGCTCATGCAACACAATCACTACAATCATATCTGACACAACACTTACTGTAGAGGGGTTTTGATATTGAAAGTAATTTCATCTTGGGCTTGCAGGATTTTTTCCAACCTAACTATGTCATAAGTATTAGGATTCCTGAAGGGAATATCATCCGGAAGTCCACACACTTCCAGTGAGCCTGGATTGGCACGGATTAACTTGTATGGAACAATGACTGAGCGCTCCAGACCCAAAGCTTCACCTGAACACAAGACAGTCACTAATGAAGCACTGGAGTATTTTCAAAACCACAAAAATATGTTTGTTTGCACGAAGGAATAAATCAGTTATTAGTAATTAATAGGGATGCACCGATACCACTTTTTCTAGTACTTGCCCGATACCGATACTTTTATTTTTGGTACTTGCCGATACAGAGTACCGATACCAATATTTTTTATTGCATTTGTAAATTTTTTAAATATTGGGTACAGAAACCAAAAGAGTATGTATAATGTTAGTTGGTTAACTTCATTTATCAAATAGATACACTCAAACCAAAATTTATTCAGACACCTTCAACATTTCTCACAGTATCACAGTTTATTCGCTTAAGTTTAGAAAATGGTAATACATATGACAAGAACTCAGAGTTAAACTGTGTCAGAACAAATTCAGCTTGATAATGTCAGATACCTTTGATAGAAAGGTATGTAATGGATTACAATCAACCAAAAATTATTCAGACAGCTGTTAGTATGACAGTATTTAAAAAACTATCAAAAGTCTTAGCCTTAATGACAGCATATAGTCTCCTGGGCATGCCGTCATTCAGCTTCATGCAAACCTCAACTTCAATTTTTTTCCCAAACTCGGTCTGAATAATTTTTGGTCCCAAATTTTTTATCAGTTTCCACTGTATGAAGAATTTTTGGGTATAATTTATCATAGTTTACTTTATTTTGCTGTCCTCACTTACATACAGTGGGGCAAATAAGTATTTGATACACTGCTGATTTTTCAAGTTTTCCCACTTACAAAGAATGGAGAGATCTGTAATTTTCATCGTAGGTACACCTCAACTGTGAGAGACAGAATCAAAATACTTCGTATACATTCTTAATCTCTAATAACTCCATTCTGCTGTCGGTTGTTTTGTTGTTGGTGTTTCTTTGTCTGAATATGGTGCTTATCACATGCTGTGTGGTATCAGCGTTTGGTATCGGGGCATTTTAACGAGTACGAGTACGAGTACAAGAGCTCAGTATCGGGCCTGATACCGATACCAGTATCGATATCGGTGCATCCCTAGTAATTAACATACCATATTTTTTATTGAAGAGCTCTTTAACTTGTTCCCTTAATATCACTTTCTCTCCCATCCGGTTGACCTCATCTTCTTCTGTTGGACAGTGATAAGACAAGTTTACTGACAGATTCAACATTAACATAACTTTTTATGCTAGCTAAATCAATCATAGTAGACAGATTTTACATGGATTCATGCTTAAGGCTAGACTTATCCTGCTTTATTTTTCAAAGAAAATCTCTTGGACATTGGCTGTTTTATAATAAACTGTTTAAATATATTTTAGAGTATTACAAACGATTAAATAAGTGAATAAAACAATTTAAATCAAATTTTCTCATAGCAAAAAAAACCCTGAATATCAAAGAATCCTGAAAAAAAAGTGTGAGCATAAAAGACTTCTGTCAAAAACAATTCAAAAAATCTTACTTTTGAACTGCTGTATATTTGCAAATGGAATAATTTTATCTCAGTCAAACAGTAAAACTAAAGTGGATTTTATTGATTATAGTAGGAATGATCCTAGTTTGGTCGCACCACAATGCTCTGCACTTCCAGTGTAGACATGGGCACTTGTGCATTAAAGGCACAATATGTAAGATTTTTTTATTAAAATATCCAAAAACCACTAGAACAGTGTTATATATTTTGCTGACTTGTGCCCCTGAACATCAAAGAATCCTGAAAAAAAAGTGTGAGCATAAAAGACTTCTGTCAAAAACAATTCAAAAAAATCTTACTTTTGAACTGCTGTATATTTGCAAATGGAATCATTTTATCTCAGTCAAACAGTAAAACTAAAGTGGATTTTATTGATTATAGTAGGAATGATCCTAGTTTGGTCGCACCACAATGCTCTGCACTTCCAGTGTAGACATGGACACTTGTGCATTAAAGGCACAATATGTAAGATTTTTTTATTAAAATATCCAAAAACCACTAGAACAGTGTTATATATTTTGCTGACTTGTGTACTTACATTATCCTAAATGTTTCAAAGAATGTTTAAATCCAGAGAAATAAGCAATTTTAACTAGTGACACGGACCGTGTCCATAGTGTCATTCTGTCTCCTGCCAATACATCACAACGTCATAACCCCTCGATTTCCGGTTTTGTTTTGTAGAAAACATGGAAACACCAAAGACACTTTAATATGTTGTGCGTTTTATTACACAGGTGACAACCGCACAGAGTAGCATTATAACAGCACGTTCGAATGTATCTAGTATGATAAAACAGCGCTGCTTTTTTCCCACATACGCACGACCGGAAGGAACAGAAGCGCTCGACTGTGGCATAATAAAAGCTCCGCCGCTGCTTTCGAGCCATGTGTCGCGCTCGTTCAGCGCCCTCGTTTCACTTCGATGGCTTTCTGCCTCACCCTGCTTCATTCTACTACGTTAATAAATCATTAGCTCATCCATGAACATGATTTCTGCCCGAGTCCCGTCGGATTGCATCGGCTGTGGGGATGAAGACGACAACTCCCATGATTCTACACTCAGTCACGGCATCATCAAACTACGCCTTTGTTTCTTTGTTTATTTGGAATACGCGCACTCTAGCGGCGAAAATTACATATTGTGCCTTTAATTGCAATACATAACCACAACACTAAATCTATCATAAATGATGCCTTATTCTTACCACTTATTGGGGTGTAACCTTTCTTCAGTATGGTTATTCGTCGTGGTGCTGGCAAAATAAAAAGGATTTGATTCACTTATTTCCATGAGTAATTCAGCAAAAATATAGACAATTTTTAAAAAGCAGTGCTATGAAATTTTCACAGCTTACCTGGCTTTGGAATAAGCCCTTGGAAAGGCCTGAAAAGATAAAAAAAATAAATAAATACACATTCATAACTTTTTTTTTTCTTACTTAAAAAGATTTAAAAGTTCGAAAGCTCTTCAAAAACTTGGCGCAGCACCTCACCTTGTAATACTGAAAGAGATCTTGTCTGCCACTGCTAATATCCTCTCTAGATTCTGTGAGCCGAAGGTACAGGGTTTTCTGAAGGGGATGCCAGGTGGCAAGCCCTCGATAATCACTGAGCCAGGGTTACTCTTGATCCTCTTGTAAGGCACTTGCACAGGATACTTAATGCCCAGTGCCTCACCGTATTTCCTGTTGAACAGCAGTTGAGCGTTCATATCAACCCGCAGTGTATTTCTATATAGTAGAGGCGCTAACACTGGGAGTCTATTTAGGGAATTCTATTGGATGTGGGTTTACTGTAGTGGGTAAACTAGCACAGCACTGGGAACAGGTTTGACACTGGATCTGACTCGGGTGAGACTACTGTTTGGGTAAGACTGGGGGATTGGGATTGGAGTTGAATGAGAAATGTAAAACTCTTGTCTTACCACATTTTAACCTATGATATTATCACCGGTTAAAATATTTTTTTTTTGTATATTAACTGCCGCTGTCCTGTTTCGATCTTCACAGAGGTTCGTACTCATGTACAACCAAATGTTCCTTTTGAGAGATTAGGACATGGTTTCTCCACACAACGCAGTGGCTTAATCAGCACTATTAGTAATATCCATGTTGAGCATAAACTCACTGAAATGTCTTACAAGAATGGACTTGGCAGTTAGTTGGACGGACACGCACATGTACATGTAAAGATTATGAGACAGGCATTAAAGCTTGTAGGAGGGCAGGTACAGACCGGGCAGAGGGATATGTA